CCTTGGGCGGATTTTCTTGTTGAATGCTCGGCCAATAGTAACCCATTCTTTTAAGCCGGAAATGTAGCTTTGGTCCAGACTAATGTGCCCCACACACACCTGAATGTGCTTCTTCCTTGGCTTGATTAACTTCTTCATCACCTAGACATCTCAGGTGCACTCCTTCAAAAGAGCGTCGGTAGAGTGTTCATTTGTAGTAAAGGAAGCGAGGTGCTCGTCAACGTATTTCGGAACGGTGTCTAAGATCATCTGGAAGCTTTCCGTGCTCTAAGTAGTTGATCAGCGGCTGTCTCCACTCTTCAGCATCGACTGGAAGTACTGAGATTACATTTGTATCATCTAGTGACATTTCATTAATGAGCGGAATCACCCATCTTTGGCAAACTGGCACGTCTGCAACTTCATCTTTTCCTAATGTCATACTCGAGGCTAGATTGGCGAGAGCGTCTGCCATTTGATTTTCCTTTCTTGGCACATGTTCTAGGGTCACAGCTTCGAACTTTTGTAGTAGTTGGGTCGCTAGTCGGAAGTATGGGACGAGATCATCTTTCCTCACCTCATATTCAGTTAAGAGTTGATTGATTATGAGCTTGGAATCGTCATACACCTCAAGAGCTGTGATTTCCATATTGATCGCCATTTAGAGCCCGATTATCAATGCTTGGTACTCAGCAACATTGTCGGAGCATAGCTCATTCAGTTGGAAGGAGTAAGGTAGTATTTGCCTTTGTGGTGTCATGAATACTACTCCTGCCCCCGCTCCGTCTGCTCGTGCGGATCCATCGAAGAACATCGTCCATGTCGGGAAAATATCGATGTAGAACACCTTTTCGTCAGGCAAGTCATCTAACATGGCAGCCATGTCAGAGTCCGGAAATGGATAAAAAGCCCCAACTGTAAATAATCTCATTCTTCCAACCAGTTATATCAACATTTGATTGAGAAAAGAACTAGAAAAAAGGAAAGGTAGATCTCAAAGAACCACTGAAAGCCCAAAAGGTAATTAACAGAATAGTTTCATGCCACACAAAAACGGTGTAAACACGAAAAATTCCTGAAACAAAAAACAAGAATACGTATACAAAATATATTTTTGTATTAATGATTTTGGGGTTACAATATTTTTGTAATTTGATCCTCTGATTCTATCTTCGTAGGGTGTAGGTTTGTGGATGAGTTGTTGATCCAAAGGGCCGTCGGGGCTTGATCTAAAGATGAACAGTTGATGAATGGATCTTTAAGGGACGTTGGGCTTGATCTTGAAGAATGGGTGTATGAGTTTGTTGAGGTTGTTGATCTAAAGGGTCGTTGGGGTTTGATCTTAGGATGAACGGATGATTAATGATGAACACTTTCTTCAAGGGGCCGTCGGGGCTTGATCTTGAGTTGGTGGGAGTTCTTCAAGGGCCGTTGGGGCTTGATCTTGAAGGAGGATTTGACGAAGAACGAAAAGTGCTTTCTTGATCCTTCGAGATTTGCTTAAGAGCTTTAGAGTTTCAAGGCTTCAAGGTTTTGGTGTAATGTAAGTTTCTCTTCCTTTTCTTCTTCAAAATGAATGTCTTGGCTTCCTATTTATAGAATTCCAAAACTTGATTTTTGGATTTAAATAATCAGATGAAATAAATCATTTCTGCTAGGTATTGACACGTGTCCCATTTGATGACTTTTCCAATTTATTTCGATTTTTCGTTGAGTCACACGCTACATGTAAAATTTATGTGACACGTGGGAGTTGAAATTTTAATTATTGGTCAACATTTATTTCACCGAAATTTTGATGTCTACATAAGCATGTTAGAGGTGATCGATCACCTCTATAAAGGGAGAGGCGACACAACCATTGATTCAAATTGAAGAGACACCACTCTTCAAAGCCAGATTTTCTTGCGTAAATTTTGCCAACTCTTCAGACGCAATCTCAGCTTTTCAGATAACGCGTGTAACTTTGTCAAAAGCTCTCCGACAAAGTTGAAAATACGTGGAGGTCATCATCCCAGCTACACAGTTTTGCCGACAAGCGTGGGTGACAAAGCTGCAATCTCGACTTTTCAGAAAACGCGTACAACTTTGTTAAAAGATCTCTGACAAAGTTGAAGACGCGTGGAGGTCAAAGCCGCATCCGCACTACTACTTGCCATTAAAATTTCTATATATGTCAACATTCATGGCAAGGCATACATCCAAAAACGCATGACTCTTCTTCTCGGTCGAGAATGTAGCTGCAACCAAACCTATCAACATGGCTGTTTATTCATAAATTGAAGAGGCATTTGCTCAAAAAAATCGAAGAAGCGTTTGTTCAGAAATCGAAGAGGTAACACCCTCCGAACCTTAAAAGCTGGGCCGCTTATTCAATGATCGAAGAGTCATTACTCTTTGAATTTAAAAAAAAAAAAAAAAAAAAAAAAAAAAAAAAAAAAAAAAAACCGGGTTTGCTGGATCAAAACTTGTCAGTACCTTTCACATGTAACCTCAACTTTACAGACATTACAAACAACTTTGCCAAAGATTTCTGACAAAGTTGAGAACGCGTGAATCTTACTATTTCAATTACCCAACAGTTGTCGACAATGGTAAAGGAACAGTACCACCACTTGTTATTGGTAAATCCCTATATATGTCGACCTTCATCTTTTATGGCAAGGCAGACCTGCAAAAAAATGCCCAACTCTTCCTCACCTCTGAGGGCGCACTCCCAGCAAAGCCTCTCGAAATACTCAATTTTCTTCTTCCACAAAGAAGATACCAGATGTCTGGAGTACAGATGAGGCAGGAGGAAACGGTAGATCGAAGCATGTGGAGACAAGCACAACAAATATATGTGCTGATTCATTCGCTGCTTCTTCAAAAGCAAAAGTATCTCATATCATCAAGGGTGAAAGTAAAGGTATCTCATATCATGCTTTTTTCCATGTCTTTTCCTTTGCCCTTATTCTCACCTGCCAAGACAAAGACAAAGAAAGCAATATGTCGGAACCTCCACTCAAACTTGCGCTGCCACGAAGAAGTGATGGTCCATTCAAATGCAAGGTTTGCATTCCACTCCTGTATCAGAGGACAAATACTACAAGAGAAGATGACAAACCTGCATAAGGAAATACCACTTCTGCAAAGGGAGCAAGTAAGGCAAGTGAAAATGATACATCGAAGCATGTGGAGACAAGCACAACAAATATATGTGCTGATTCATTCGCTGCTTCTTCAAAAGCAAAGGTATCTCATATCATGCTTTCTCCATGTCCTTTACTTTGTCCTTGTTCTTACTCGCATAGCAAAGTGAAAGAGAGCAATCAACCAGCACTCGGAGTCAGTCTTCCGATCTGGAACCGACTACCTGGAATCTATTCTCTGGTTGCTTACCTAGCATTGCTATCGAGTAGTCATCTTCAACGGTTGATACACTTCCAGAGAAGGGACCACATCTGCTTGGAGAACAGCTAAGACGAGTGACAATGAAACATCATTCTTGTTGATCGTCAGCAAACGCAACAACTGCATATGCTGAGTCATCCTCTAACCCTCTTCAAATATGAATAGGACAGATTGAACAAAGAAACAGGTCATCACCTCCACCTCGTGCTTGCCTGCCATGTGTCTGAATCCTGAAACCACTCATGGTCTTATTTCCAATTCAAGATCAAGCCTCGATGGCCCTTGAAGAAATCACAAGTCGGATTCAAAATCAAGTGTTCACCACCCTTGAATCAAATTCAACTCTAGATAAAAGAAGTAAGTTCAGACCTTCGGAGGAGACCAAAAGAATCCTCCAGCCCAGTTCAAGATTAAGCCTGCGGAAAATCAACGATTGGAGGAAACCAGAAAATCTTCCAGTCGAACTCAAGATCAAGCCTCGATGACCCTTGAAGAAATTTCCAGCCCAGTTCAAGATCAAGTCTCGACGACCCTTGGGTTGACATCTACATTAAGGGACTTCAAAACGCATCTTCTACACGTGACAAGCACATGTCTACGACGCGCCTTGAAGTGGGGGCATTTGTAGACATCAAAATTTCGGTGAAATGAATGTTGACCAATAATTAAAATTTCAACTCCCACGTGTCACATAAATTTTACATGTAGCGTGTGACTCAACAAAAAATCGAAATAAATTGGAAAAGTCATCAAATAGGACACGTGTCAATACCTGGTAGAAATGATTTATTTCATCTGATTATTTAAATCCAAAAATCAAGTTTTGGAATTATATAAATAGGAAGCCAAGGCATTCATTTTGGAGGAGAAAAGGAAGAGAAATTTACATTACACCAAAACCTTGAAGCCTTGAAACTCTAAAGCTCTCAAGCAAATCCCGAAGGATCAAGAAAGCACTTTTCGTTCTTCGTCAAATCCTCCTTCAAGATCAAGCCCCAACGGCCCTTGAAGAACTCACACCAACTCAAGATCAAGCCCCGAAGGCCCCTTGAAGAAAGTGTTCATCATTCATCATCCGTTCATCCTAAGATCAAGCCCCAACGTCCCTTTGGATCAACAACCTCAACAAACTCATACACCCATTCTTCAAGATCAAGCCCAACGCCCCTTGAAGATCCATTCATCAACTGTTCATCTTTAGATCAAGCCCCGACGGCCCTTTGGATCAACAACTCATCCACAAGCTTACACCCTACGAAGATAGAATCAGAGGATCAAATTACAAAGAGATTGTAACCCCAAAATCATTAATACAGAAATATATTTTGTACACGTATTCTTGTTTCTTGTTTCAGGAATTTTTCGTGTTTACACCGTTTTTGTGTGGCATGACACTATTCTGTTAATTACCTTTTGGGCTTTCAGTGGTTCTTTGAGATCTACCTTTCCTTTTTTCTAGTTCTTTTCTCAATCAAATGTTGATATAACTGGTTGGAAGAATGGGATTATTTACAGTTGGGGCTTTTTATCCATTTTTCCATTTTCTATGGCCGTTAGAATGCTTATAAATACAAAGTTGATTTTTATTGTTATTGCTACTAATCAATCTTGCTGTAAAATATCTGCAGGTTTTTCCTCAAAGTGAAAAGATTGAGAACATAAATGATCAATACTGGGCATTACGAGCTGAAGAGGTCTCTCTCTCTCTCTCTCTCTCATGCTTATGCTCTAAGAGGTCTTAATTCTAGCTATTGGTTGCATTTTTTATGATTTTTATTGTTATTGCTACTAATCAATCTTGCTGTAAAATATCTGCAGGTTTTTCCTCGCAGTGAAAAGATTGAGAACATAAATGATCAATACTGGGCATTACGAGCTGAAGAGGTCTCTCTCTCTCTCTCTCTCTCTCTCATGCTTATGCTCTAAGAGGTCTTAATTCTAGCTATTGGTTGCATTTTTTATGTTATGAGTGTCTAATTGATGTGTTTTTGTATCCTTTCAATTCATAGGTTCCTGAGGAAGAGAAAAATCTTGGTCCTAATGATCGTGTAATTCATGTTTACCATTTCACTAAAGACACAGCTCAAAACCGAATGGTAGTTGCAACTATTTAGTTTCACAGTTCTGCTATTTTTCGCCTTCCAGATGTATGCTTGCCTTTCAAAAATGAATATCATATGATGTTGTGTATCTTATATGCTCAAATTTTCCCTTTCTTTTGTAGCAAATTCAAAACTTTGGGGAACCTTTTTTCTTGGTCATACATGAAGGTGAAACTTTGGCTGAAATTAAAGCTCGAGTACAAGAGAAATTACAGGTCGCAGATGAGGAGTTCGCTAAGGTGCAACCTAAGTTCTCATTATCATCATATTCACTTTTATAATTTTGTTAGAAAGATAGACATTCTCATAAGTTTTAAATGAAGAAATGGGATTTTTGTATTCTACTGATGAAACATCACTTTTTTTCCCTTTGCCAGTGGAAGTTTGCATTTATTTCCCTAGGTCGCCCAGAATATCTTCAGGACTCGGACATTGTGTCTAGTCGGTTTCAGGTGTGAAATAGAAATTGCAAATCAGTAAACATTTTACTATAGATATGGAAATCTTTAGAGATAGAAGTTTACATTATTACTTTCGTAGTATGTTTCTAATCTAAGATTTTACTTCCATTGTTTTGTTTTTCATCTGCCATCCTATATAGAGAAGAGATGTCTATGGTGCTTGGGAGCCATATCTTGGGCTGGAGCACTCTGACAGTTCTCCTAAAAGATCTTATGCAGCTAATCAGGTGAGTTGCATATTTCCGTTTTGTTCGTCTTCCATGTGTCCATTTTTCTTTAAAAACAAGGATGGCATTGAAACTACTAGAGTATATTTTTGCTCAAATATATTTGTGGATAGGCTTGTATGTTGACATTACTCTGCCACTTTTACAATTTGTGTTTTGCAGAATCGTCATACATTTGAAAAGCCAGTAAAAATTTACAACTAGGAAGTAGTTGGATGATTGAGCTTTTTGTCGTTCCAGAGATGCGTTGGGCAAATTCTTCACATCGTGTGGCTGTGAAAGTGGGAATTGGTGAAAAGTGATTGTGCAGCCATCCAGTGATACTAACTTTTGAAAAGGTGTCTGGCAACGTTCGGTAGTCGAATTTGTTAGCTATTTAATTCTTTATCAAGAGTGGTTGGGGACGACTCATTTCCTAAATCAGTGTCTTGAAGAAAAATCCCCTCTTGAGCTCAACTACAGTTTCAGACAGAGGTGCTTCGTCGTTGGGTGACGTGTGAATGGACTTCCGTCATCAGATCAATGTAAACTTTGACAGTAAGTAAACAAGATTTTTGGAACTAGTGAACGTATAGAGGTATAGTTTGGTGTCAGTCAGCCATTTTTTGCATGTTTTGCTTCGCGTTTCTGGTCGGTTTAGATAGCGAGATGGATGGGGTGGCGCATTGGTTGATTAGTCAGTTCCCAAACATGTTTCTAAACTTTTGTAAAAGAGATTTGCCAGGCGCTGCTATTGAATTGAGGGCAGTACAGTACATATGCTCTTTTCTGTTATTGAATTGGTAAATTTTCTCTTTGTCAATTTGTCATCACCATCTCTTTGCTAATCTCCGCATAACATTCTTGTATACCAAATCCATATAGGAATAGATTGGATAGAAGCCTTTGTATACCTAATCTCTGCATAACATTCTTGTTTGTTGGAAAAGACACTCAAAAGAGAGGTGGAAAGAGGAAGGGACGCGGGAGTTTTGTGAAAACTTAAAAAACCTTAGGGATGTTAGTGTAATTAATCCCTTACTAGTGGTCCAACTATTATAATAAAACATTTTTAAAGTAGTACTCTACAATGGAATAACCTCTTTTTCAATTCATCAAAAATCTTGATCCCAACTTGAGCCCAACTATGTATTGAATAAATTCCATGTTGTAATAAGTTATAAATTTTTCTAGGTTTCATGTTAAGAAAACACGCCTCCACATATTTCTAATTGTCAATGAGGACAAAAATATCCAAGAAATAAAATACTTGGCGCTTAAAGAATCTTTTTTAGTAAATGCAATGTTCATTGAGGATAAATAAGTCGATAACTAATATTTTTTAACTACACCTCTATTAAGTAAGAACCTTCCTAAGTTATAAAATTGGTTTAGTCTCAACTTTATAGAGGTTTTATTGTATTCGTTCAGGTCTAACATATGTTGAGTTAAGCCCATAGGTCGTTAATTCAAGTCCAACGACAGCCTAGTTGGGCTTTCACACGACTCTTTTTTTTTTTTTTTTTTTAAGTTCAACAATATATTTATACTATGGGTGGTAGATTTGGCCTAAGCAGCACAATGGGTTTTTCATAAGAATAGTAATACACTTACTACTTATTTGTATCATCTGTCTAATAGAGTTAGAATCCACAAACACATGTGTGTTGCATCTCTAATAAATAGTTGGTACAAATGACATTAAAAATAGCATTCTTGTTTTCATAATAACTTTGTATCAAACTCATTATCCACGAAATTCGTCTCAAAGACCTTCAACTTACAAGTTAAAGACGGAATATTTACCAAATAGTTGGCAGTCAAAGTCATGACAATGAAATGAAACTCCAAAGTAAAATAGTTTTCACACACCCATTTTACCATTCTAAGCAACCTTTTTTTTATGTCCTTGTTTCTTTTTCGAATTATTAAATTAATGCCAAAAATTGAAAAAAATTGAAAAAAGTTTCTTTTTCTTTTCCTTGCAAAAAAGTTATAAATAAATAGGTAAAATAAATAAATAAAAAGAATTGGAGTACCGAAACTGAGCTCCACATACTCATTTAACTTGTATCCATGGCCACACTTTCCTGCTATTCCCTCCACCCTCTTTCCTCTTCTTCTTCTTCTTCTTCTTCTTCTTCTTCTTCTTTTCCTTCAACATCTCAATCTTTTCCACACCAACCTCAAACAAAACCCGAAACCCCTCCTCCGCTCATCCGCTGCTCCGCCACCGGCATTGCCACTATTGCCGCCCCCGGACGTCAAATCATAATTCAGCCAACCACTCGGCTGTTGGTCCAACCTATTCTCCTATTTGCTGGCTTCGACAGACCCTTGGACACCCAAACTTTTCTTGCCACTATCAGTGTCTTGGCCGCCATTGCTCTCTCCCTCTTTCTCGGCCTTAAGGTAACTACCTACTACTTCTGCCTTTGTTTTTCGAAAAGTTATAGGGGCAATTCGCTACAATAAACATATTTTAACATTTCTTTGTAGAAATGATCAGTGTTTATTATGTCGTCATCGTAACATTGTTGTGTTGTTGTGTCGTTGATATATGAGATCAATATGCCGTCTGTACTGAAAATTAATCATTTCTGCTAACCAAATATCAAAATACGTTTATTGTAGCTGTTTTTCCAAATTATAATTATCTTTACAAAATGGGGGTTATGGATTTTAGCTTTTTTGGGTTAAAGTGATGAATCTTTTGCAGGGTGACCCTGTGCCTTGTGAGAGATGTGCTGGCAATGGTAATCACTTTCCGGTTGCTTTTGTTTTCTTCGTTTTTAATTTTGACATAAGAAATGAATGATTGACAGCAATATGAATATGAATATGATATAGATAAAGTTTCAGCACTTATGTCATTGAACTAGAGAAACACGTTGAAATTTTATTAAAAAATCCAAGCCTCTCAAAAAAGCACTTCTATGGCCCATATGTACGTTTAAGTTTTTCTCCCAAACTAAGTCAAAAGAACTTTTAGTTGTCTGAAAACGCTTTTGACTCTTCTCCTAGTAGTCCCATACAGGCCCTTAATATGACACTCAGATGCTTATCTTATGGTGCAAGCAGAGACCAAACAGCTTTTCCTACTGGAGGCTTTAGACCGCTAGGGCTCATGTCCACTTGTGTGGCATTTGCATTTTAGTTAGCCCTTTTTTTTAATGCATTTTTCATGCTAATATGGAAGGGAAAATTGTAACACTAATCATGCAGTAAAGTCTCTTATGGTTGATCAATTTTAAACTTAGGATCTGCAGCGAAGAAATAAGCCGAAGATGGACTTGGTTGACAGCATGTGTTGTTTGGATCTTGATTAATGTTATTTTTCACGTAGTTTCAGTCACCAGACAAGTAAGATTTTCCCAGTGGTGACCAGCGTAGGTTGAGGTTTAAATGTGGGACTGAACCCAACCAGTTTAGACTGAAGGGTTTTAAGTACAATTAGCCCTTTTGTAGCTCGCACTGTCGCACATTATAACTTGTGAACAGTCTACTCTGAATTTTATCTTAAACATGATTTTGAACTCTCTCAGTTTCAATGTGATGTGGATGCTTCGATTTATCTTCTTGGAGTCTCGTTTTGTGAGCATTTCACAGTATTGTGCACAGTTTGAGCTAGGTTTTGGACGAGTTCTCGAGTCAGGGGAATCACGTTGGTACTCAACCATTAGAACGTGATGTAGTGTTGAACATCTACTTGTTGATCCCTACTCTACAAAACCTTAGTTTGAAGCATCCAAGGATCTATCATATAGGATTAGGATCACAATGCTGCAAACAAAAAATGTTAGTACTGGAATTCAAATATACGTAAACCATCTGTTTAGTTTCTTTGTTTCAACATTTAGTATTTCTTTTATTTGTTTGAACATTTTGTCTATCACTGAGACTTGCCCCCGGTGGTGTCTCAGTACTGTCCGTCTTCTCCTAATACATGAATATGTTTGGGACCGGTAGGTGGTACGAAATGTGTCTTCTGCAACAATGGCAAAATGAAGCTAGAGACGGGCTTGGTTGACTGCAAGGTTTGCAAGGGTGCAGGTAATAGTTTCTGACATCTTCTTTGCTCAATTATTACGATCCTTACACCTTAATTAGGCATGTATGATCATCGAAGAACATAATCGATCTAGGATTTTGGTTAATAATACTCTCTCACCCTTCTGATTTTTTAATGTCTGCGGTACTACAACTACAAGTGCTGCTGAAGTACCGTGTCACATGTCACAAGTTGTAGTACTGAGCGAGTACCCAGGAAGTAAATCGTGTAGATTAATACTAATGCAACCCTAATCGCATCACTACTACTACTAAGTACTGAAATGCCATAGAACAAGTGAAGCAGTAGTCTTGTACTCCTATTAGGCTATTCCTCTTGGTTTCTGGGGACATAGATTATTAGGATCTTTTAGTCTTGAACTCTGCATGCCCCTCAAAGATTCTGGTAGTAATCAGATTGTCAAGTTATTCACCAGATTGTGAACATTTTCGATATTTGTTTTGTATGGTTCAATCTCTCATTTTCTCACATATTTATTTATAAGGTCGTAGCTTTCGCAGTAGCTTCATCGATTTTCTTTTCTTTTTTTGTAGGATTGGTACTTTGCAAGAAATGTGCAGGTTCTGGCTACTCTCGACGGCTATGAACTATGTAACAATTTTTAGAATATTACTTTGCTCTCTATCTCTCTCCCTATTTGCAATTCTGAATGAACTTTCTCTAGCTCCAACTCCTTTTTGCCTAGATGCATATCTTCTTTTTGTTCATTCAAGTGGTAGCCACATTCTCTAATGTACATGTGCTTATTCCATTCTAATTCGTATTTTCTTCCGTTGTGTGTGTGTGTGTGTGTGTGTATATATATATTTTTTTTTTGTTTATTATTAGAATCAAGATCTTCTGAAGCATTGTTCGTTAGCGAGAAATGGATAAAAACCATTTACTAAATGGTTGTTTGATAGCCGTTTCGTTTTCACTATTTTTTAAACTGATAACTCGTGTTGAAACTGATTTTAGTTAAAAATTAAATTTATTTATTTATAAAAATAAAATTAATAAAAAAAAATAAAAAACTGAAAGCTAAAATTTCAAAACTCAAAGAAGTAACTTTCAGTTTTTGGTTTTGAGTTTTTCATTTTTCAAAAAATTAAAAGTGGTTTGAGTATTCAGCTTTCAAAAACAGTAAAATCTAAAAACTGAAAATAAAATGGTTACTAAACGGTTACGTCAACACACTAACTAAATTATTGATAGAATTTTACCAAAAGAACCACATTGATGTGAAACAGTGAAAGCCAAAGAATAAACTGATTGACATTGAAACTTAAAGACCAAATTGAGGAGTTTGATTAATTTTTAAAACCATTCACAACAAAAGCCTTTGTTTAATACACAAATTAAAATTTGACGTCATTTCCCTATCTTAAAAAAAATAAGAGGTTTTCTCTTTGTTTGTTTTTTTTTAATTATTATTATTATTATTATTATTATTATTATTATTATTATTATTGCTACTACTAGTAGTAGCAAATGCCACAGTTTGAAAAAAAATATTTTTTTTTTCTCAAATAGTTGTTTTTTTTTTTTTTTCCTAATGTTTTTATGAGAAGTTACTTATTTTAAACGGGCAGCATGAATAAAATGGGGGTCGACAGGGAGAGAGAGATGTAAGTTGGGGTTGACGGTTACCAGGAGAGAGAAATGTCAGCTTAGGTATTGATAAGTTGACATGCTGCGAGGTTGAGAAAAAAAACAGTAAAAACTTGATTATGTGAAATTATTTTAATGCCTACATTTTTTTTCTT